GTTCCAATGCTGCAGATTTGGGGCTGACTGCCCTCACTACAGGTTGTTTCATATTTCTGGCACATCGGCAGGGCTTTTGCAACCCCTACTCCGACTAATACAAAGGTTACCCTCTGGTAAACTAACATAGCAAATGATTGGACATGACCATTTATAGTGTTGATTTACCTATTGAAAATAGTGATTTCCATAGTCATGTTAGTTTCCCAGAGGGTAAATAATCACTGGCTCATCGACAAAGAATCTCCCGTTAAACGGGAAGAAGAGAGGATGCTCCTGCATTGAATTGCTTGCTTGAACCGCTGACATCGTCGAGTATCAACAGCTGAATGGTACACTCCGGTCATCAAACATGGCAATGGAACATCCATCATCTATAGATGATCTTCCCAGCTAGGCCACGTTTGATTATCAGTCCGTACCCCTAATCCACTGGTTAATCATGGTTTTGTTCTTGTCCTAGTGGCCATACGTCAGAGCTATGTTGGCATATTCGCCATTGTTGGAATGGTTTTCTGTGGCGCCAATGCGAATGGAGACCGAAGCTGCTGGCTACAAATCAAACATCTCGAAATCATTTGGAGGGCAAAGAATGAGACCCAGAAAAGGCAGCTCTGTTTTTTCCCCCAGTTTCCGCTGCATCCACTTTTATTGGAGTTAGTTTCCGCTTGGCCCATCTCCAAATATAAAGCCATATCGCCCAACGTCGACATCAAGCGTGCAAATCTGCCGAGCAACTCTCCATCCGTCAAGCCAACACAACGCAACGCGCGAATGTTTCCGCAGCGAGTCAGGTTGTGGTGTGGTGGCGGCCTGTGTGTAGGTTTGCTGTTGAACCGACAACATAAAAACCTGAGGTTCATGGCTTCTGCACAGCTGGAGTTCGCTGATGTCTACCGGTGAGCTACTGAATGAAATATTCCCAATTATGCCCTCTGGTAAACTAACAGCGTTGGGAACTAACATAGCTATGGCTATGGAAAATCACCATCTTTATAGGTAGATCAACTATTGTTATGTGCCATTTTCAATAGCTATGTTAGTCACTACCAGAGGGTAACTTGTTATTGAACAAGTGATTGTAACCGGGTGAGTTATCCCAAACATCAGTGCACTCATCAAGTCAGGTATTGACAGAAGAGTTGGGGAATTGGGGGGTTGAGAAATCAGTAGGATTTGATTGCTCCATCCTTTTTCAACCTTTTGGGTGGCTCTGTATATCGTCATTCTAAATTGAACTAAAATGGTAACAGCATCCCTGCATCTTGCCACAAGTCTTCTCCATTTTGGAGTGGGAAACCGTGAGTTTTGAATATCTAAATCTACATCAGTTTCATTTAGTTTGCAAGGTTATAAGCATGTTTCCCTACCATGAGGACATTTACCCTAAATCACCTGGTTGGCGGATATATTATGTACACATGTGACCTATCACAAATACCAGTCTCCGTGAAGGCGAAGGAATCCCATGTGGATGCAACCAGCATCTGCGAATTTTGCGGAAAACCGAAATACACGTCAGTGTTTTTTAAACCAATGGAAAACATTACAATATCAGATGCTTATATATATATGTATAGATACAAGTATATATGATGATATTATTGATAAGTATATATTGTGTATGATAAGAGAAAAACAAACAAACATACATCAGACCGCTACCCAAGCTGCTACGAGCAGCCGCAGCTTAAGCAAAGCAAGGTTTAAACGTGACCGGGCTTTTGCAATCCGGCCTTAAATATCATTAAATATCGATGGCTCTCTCGGAGAAAGGGGACCACCGTTATAACCTGGCACCCAGGTTTCTGGTTGGCTGCAAGATGTTTCCGCCATAAAACAGGATAAACAGGTCATATTTTTTCAAGAGATTTTGAGGATGATCAACTTGATCAACTACGGAACCACCATGAACCACCAACCAGCTTCATAATGATTGGGGCGTTTTAGAATACGACTTGGAGCACCCTGGCTGTGGGCTCCAAAAAGCTCCTGTGGATTCCTGTGGATCTGAAGACTTCGAATGGGTCACTTGATGTTCTCGTTGGGGTGTCTTGATATCTCCCGACGTTACCCTCTGGTAATTTAACATAGCTATTGAAAATGGCAATTTATAGTGGATTTTCCCATTAAAAATGGTGATTTTCCATAGTTATGTTGGTTTACCAGAGGGTATCTGGATTCATGTTCGATTCTCAAGTCTCAAGTTGAGTTTTAAATCTTTAGTTTGTTCTTCATGAACATGGTATTCAGGATGTTACAGGTTCCTAAATATGGGTCCAGTAAACTGTTTACTGACAAGGGGCGGTATCATTTTGAAGACATATTGTACTGTATCACATCATCACTTTGTTGTGGGCAATCTAATTGATACAATACAAGTATAGACAAGTACAAGTATGTGATACTATTCTTACATTTTGGAGACATTATCCCAATTGATCAAACAAGTATATTGCCCCAATATGCTCTGTGCAATGGGTGAATCCACAATCTGCCAAGCCCGATGTGTGGTAAAAATGAAACCGGCGATAGCCAGGGTGAAGTAATGCCGATTACTTTATTTACCCTCTGGTAAACAAACATAGCTATTGAAAATTGCTATTTATAGTTGATTTACCCATTAAAGAAGGTGTTTTTCCATAGTTGTGTAAACGTTTACCAGAGGGTACCTATGCTTTGCTCACCAAGACTAGATTGTATCTCTGGTCATCAACCATGGCAGGCAATCTCCCCATTTAGTTCGGTGATTTTCCCACTCGAAACCAGTTTTTTTTCTGGGATTTCCCGGCCATGACACCTTCCAGCTTGGCAAACACGATCGAACATCCGTATCAGTTGTCTTGACCCAAAGCCAGGTGTGTATTCCAAGTATCCCGGGGCATTGAAACGTCCGGGAATGATTCAAACAATGTGGTGATTCAGATAGATTTCCACAGCGAAATTCGCGACATCGGACACGCTTCCACCAAATAAAGCCAAACGCCTGCCCTTGAACAGGGAAAGTATCTGTCTCTGCTCGTTCTGTTTGTTCATACCATGTGGGGCCGTCAAGATACGTAGGCTGGTTCATAACTACAGTAGCTATAGGATTTGTGCTAGATATATTGTAATAAATCTATCCTTAGATCAGTTTACCAGCCAGGTTATTGCTGCGAGGTCTCACATTTTAGGAATGAAACAACCATCCACAGCAAGCTGTACAAATAGAATCAAATAGATGAGAGATGGTGACAGTATACTGCTCTCACAAAACTGAAAAAGAACTGAAACACATTTGACAAACGACTTTCCGGTTCTAACCTCCTTTTCAACACCTGCCCTGATTGTTTTGGGGTCCAAGAACCTTCGCTGGTTTACGTATAATTATATGTGTATATATATATAATACATTTAAACCAAATGAGATCAATAGTTGATGGGGTCAACATAAACATACATAATGATAAACCAACAAACATAAGTGGGAGGCACCACTTTGAAGCTATGGATGAATCATTCCCATCAGTTGATTGTCAAGTACTTCATGTCTACCAAACATAATCAATCCCCTCAGACAGCGTTTGGATCCATAGGGAATGTATAATATATATATATATCCCCTCTGGTAAACGTTTACATAACTATGGAAAATCACCATTATTAATGGGTAAATCCACTATTTCAATGGCCATTTTCAATAGCAAACTGTTAGTCATTACGAGAGGGTATATATCTTCGATGCGTCACGGGTATGATCCTTGAGGATCCAAGATAAAGCCAATCATTTGTCCATGGCCCTCTCTATGATTCTCTGGTTGGTGGTTGGTTTCAACCCCTCTGAAAACATATGAGTCAGTTGGGATGATTATTCCATTCCCAACTGAATGGAAAGTCATAAAAGCCATGTTCCAAACCACCAACCAGCTATGTTTGGTTTATGAAATTGGGTACTAGGCCAGGTCGACCGCGACACTGACCGGTTTTCTTTCTCCCCGGAGATCCCCCAGGTGTAACCAGCTGAGGTTTTTAGGAATTGACTCATGGCCAATCTTGGATACAAAAAAAACAGCACAAATATATAGCCGGGTACTAGACGGCAACAAAACCCTGAACTGAAATGGAATTTCAGAGAAAAACACACCGAAAAAAACATTATAACTCTTCACTCGGCCGCGTATCATCCAGTAATTTGACATAGCCATGGAACAAAATCTCCAGGCAGGCGCAGGCCATCTGATTTCAACCGTGCCCACCGACCTACACACTACCGATCCGCAATGGTGGCAGTTTCCGTGGTCGCTTGGCTGTGGAGAGGGCCTGAACGATGCTGGAACAGCCCCGAAAAAATGGAGGTTTCAAGGGAAACATCCAAAATAACCAAAACAATGCTATAGGTAAAACTACTGCTTTTCATGGTGATCCGTTTTATCTTGGGCCTTTGAGAGCCACAAAAAAGGGTTGAAAGATGTTGTAACCATACCATAGTAGACCACAATGGATTAATTCTTGGAAGATCGTGATTTCCAGACGTAAAAGGGTTTCTTCGGATACAGACCAAGGGGCATACTGTTTCTCTCCAGTAACTGGATCATAGATAGTGGCATGTTAAGCCTACAATAGTGGTCTTCCTAGTGATGGGTGAACATAAGCCAACATCACAAGGTAGTGACCCCTCGGTGAAAAGTTGGTTACAAAGCCCATGAATAGTATAAATATATCCCCCTATAAGCCAAAGTGAAATCGGAGTTATTGCTACCAACTGAACGCTATCGTAAACACCTTCCTCACCTGTAGGGGGGCTGGGTTCTTTAATAGCTAAGTTGGTGCAAATCATTCCACTATGGTTTATGATAGTAAATAACAATCAATTAATAATCATATCATAGTATAATTGATTATAATTGTAAATGAATGGCTATTGGAGGTTAGAATCTGTTAGAAGAACCAACGTTCACATCACCGGGGTTGTTCGCCCCGCAACCAGTTCTGATCCGTGGGATGATCCTCCAAGCTCTCGCCTATGGCAACTGAGATTCGTTGAGCTCGCTGAGCTCGCTGGGCTCGCTGGGCTCGTTGAGCTGAGATTCCTTAAGCATCCTGGGAGCTGATGATGCCGGAGGGCCTTCGAGAATCAAAACACACATGGCTGCGGATGAAAACCCATGTAGTCCCCAGTGGTGAACATCAGAAATAGCAGGCCAATGCGGCTTCATCCAGGCAGAAAAACCATGGTGCAAGAGGTTTTGAGCCATCCCCGCTCCAAAGTCACCTCCAAAAACGGAAACAAACCAACCCACTAAGTCCCACTGAATCTCACCAAGGATGACCCAGTGCTTGGAGGATCACTTTACGGATCGCAACTGGTGTTTCCAAGTCATACTAAGTCCCCGTTCAGTGGTGAAAATTCCATGGAAATTCCCATCTCCAACTGGTTGAAATCACCGTATCCAACCCCTCCTACTAGCCAGTTACCCTCTGGTAAACTTTAACTATGGAAAGATCCACCATTTTTCATGGCTAAATCCACGATTTCAATGGCCATTTTCAATAGTTTTTTGTAGGTCACTACCAGAGGGTAACCACTTACGATCCGTGGCATCTTGAACTCTGCCGGGCATCTTCTTGAACTCGTGCACGGACAACTTCGGGATGGTCCAGCTCATCCTCAGGATCGGCCGTCGCCGAAGAGTGACATCATTTTGTGAGAAAAACACGGATTATCATCAGAACTTTACTACAAAAAAAACACGATGGACAAAACAACAAAATCACCCATGTTTGAAGAACTTTGAATAAAAGGATATCCAATACTCACCGAAGGTTTGGCTTGTTAATATTTGTTTACAGCCTGGAAGTACCAACAAACACATCTGGGAAACTGCACCATTTCCGTGAGGATCCTGATTATTCTTCCCATCATGGTCTGTCAGTGGGTCGCGCAACATTGTAAGGTGGGCAAATTACTGTAGCTATAAAATGCTATAAACAAGCATTTTGTAGCTGGGACAGAATGGCTAGGACCAATAAATTATATATCCTTTTCGCAAAACAAAAAACAGCGTGGACGTTTTGGTGTAATTATATAATAAATCCATGGATTTGATTTACCTCTGGTTGAGTTTTCCCTAACCCGAGACAATTCATCATTGACCAACCCATAGGATTCACATCCCAGAGATCCTCGGAGTTAGGATCCAAAAAAGTCATTGCTTCAACCCTTGGTGAAATACGACTACGATTTAAGCCATTTTTCTGCCCAGGTCTAGGAGTCTAGGATTCAAGTTCTTGGATGTGTTGTTGCCAAAGGAATATATATATATATATACATATATATATATGTGTTATAGCAAACACGTCACCAAATGATACCTCTTTATTCTTCAATTTCCCCAAACATCAGCAAACCTACTCCTTGGAGGCTAATTCGCCTTACATTGCTGCGTTGGTCACCAAAAAATTCTCTTCTTTCTATGGCTACTCCGCTCAATAAACATGTATTTCAACAAGTTTTAACATGTTTTCCACTAAAGTCAACCCCGGATCAACAAAGCTTAGTTGATTAACACAGTTGCGGGGCTACCGTCCAAAAATAATCTGTAATTTCCACCTGAACTGGTACTTGATGGTGGAGTATGGGTTGTCAATATGCTGTGTAACCATCGTCATAACCATCATAAATTGGGATACAATCCCGATAATTATGGCCATTTATATCCAAATCTATATAACTGGTTGGTGGTTTCAACCCCTCTGAAAAATATGAAAGTCAGTTGGGATTATTATTCCCAATATATGGAAAGTCAAAAAAAAATCCATGGTTCCAACCCACCAAGCAGATAATATCCACTATTTCGTGAAACTGCACCCCCAGATGCATCCCATCCCATGGTACTTCTCCAATGGGGTCCCCGAACGATAGGTAAGGCCACAACAGATACTGTCACTGGGTTAACGGACTGGTTGATGAATCACATATACCATTCTATAGCATGTAAAATTGATTCATGATAGGCAAGTTGGTTTATGACTAAACGACTATGCTTAATGATGGTTTCAAGTATTGTTATATCCATACTTCATCTTACTTGTGCTTAGCAGGGAATGAGGGAATGATCCATAATCACTATCAATAATCATCCCATTCCCCCATTCCCATTCATTCCCTACTAAGCACCAGTAAGTCATTGGTTCCTCTGTAAGCCAACAAAAAATTCACGCTCGGGGCCAGAGAAACAAAATCCGTCGAGTCAGTCGAGTCACTGGCCACTCCACTTGTCGCGGCTTCGCCTCGCATTTGGGGGGCCAATGATCCAATATAAATATATATATACATAATATAAAATCATAATAGATATATATATATATATTATAATATATTAATATATTTATATAATATATGGTTTCCAAATCAAGCATATTTGGCATAACCAAATATTCCCATTTGGGCATATCTGTCCAAAGCTGCTTATCATAGGATCATATGCCCAGAATTGCCCAGTACGTGGACACATCATGGAGACCTGTACTGTAATTCCATCCTTCATTCTAACAGTAAACATTACCGGTATTGGCTACACCCCAAATACCCACAAGCCAGATGTCTCCCAATAAATCAAAGTTTCATCGGTTTCATCCAAATTTGCGCCCCCGCTTACAATAGCTAAGTTGATGCAATGAATTCATTTTTCACTATGGTTTATGATACTTAAAAAACTTATTGGGGCTGACATAAACCAACAAACACATGAGTATGGGTCAAAAACGGTCAAAACCTATAAAATTACCTTCTGACTGGGGGTTGATTCACATCCAACCAGCTATGACTTTGGGTACCTAAAACACCTTGGTTTGACCCATAACATCCCCACGTTTATGGCCCAAGTTGTACCAGATATGGATGTCAGTAAGTCACCCCACTTATAGAATGATAAGCCCATGAGTAACCATAAAAAATAACTGATGGTAAAGGGCCTTAAACTTTAACCACATGTTTCATGACATGTCAAATTCAATCCAATCAATTCTTTATAATTGCTTGTAACCCAATGAGCATATTTGTAATTCTCCACATATCCATGAATGAATAATATAGTTTTGGTTATAAGATGTTATGAGTATACGATGTTGCTATTAAGATTTAATTAAACCCCACTTACTTCCTCTTTGAACTTGTATGGGAACGTTTGCAACTCACAAACCCAATTAGTCAATGTTATTTAGTTACAAATAATATCAAACCAATTAGTGAACATATAGCATGATAATTATGTCAAGTATGTATGTTATTCAACTACAATTATGTTTCTATGACTAGATGGGCGGTTGATATGGTCAAAGGTTATACATACATACATACATACATACATACATACATACATACATACATTACATACATACATTACATACATACATGCATACATACATACATACATACATACATACATACATACATACATTACACTACATACATACATACATACATACATACATACATACATACATACATACAGACACGCACGCATGCATGCATGCATGCATGCATGCATACATACATACATACATACATACATATATATATTACCATCTAGAATTACGTTTCTTATGATTATGCTATACTTCTTACCGTTTTAGGGGTTACTATACTTGTTATTTACAGATCGCTTCAAGATAACTATGAATAAAGATAACGTAAAATAGTTTCAGTATTAGTTGGTTATGGGTCAAAACCATGGTACCCAAACGGTCCACTAAAATACTTGGTTCTCTAATGGATGGTTCTTCCGCCAGTCATGACTGGTAATAGGTTTTGACCCATCTCCAGTTCATTGCTACACTTCCAAATATGCTATAGATCACCAATTGCCATGATTAAAGTTCACCAAAAAATAGCTTTGGTTGGTTGTGGGTCAAAACCCCATATCTACCATTGAGTACAGTTAATAGCTAAATAGCTTTCCTATTAGTCAATTCCTACAATAAACCATCCCCAATTTCACCAGAAATAGGTTGTATAAACCATTCCCAAATGGTAGGTCTATTTTTGGGTTCCCACAGTATCATGATTTTGGTGATTTGTCAGCTGGTGTCATCAGAAATGGAAAATCCATCTGAAATTGGGGATGGTTTACTATACCAATTAACTAAGTTTGTATGGTTTACTGATTCATTAGCCATCATTAACCATCATTAACCACCATTATAACCATTACATCGTAACAGTCCGAGGCACAAGCACTCGATGGCTTCGAAATGCGAGCGGTTGCGGTTGTTCAGCACAGCCAGTTCGTAGGCCTCAGCGCGGAAACGGAACGGTGACTCGATGCACACAAAAAAGGTGGGAAAAACCAAGAAAACCGCAAGAAATGACGGAAACACATGGGAAAAAACATGGGAAAAACTGAGGAAACCGTATAAATGGTGAAACAAAACAAGGAAAATCGAAACAAATGGTGGAACACATGGGAAAAAAACGAAGGACATGGAAACAAACGTGGGAAAACCAAGAACATATTGGACACATTTAGGTGATTTACAGGTTTTTTCTAGGTTGTTCCGCTTGTGAGGCCATAAAATATGGCTGTTTAATGGGGCGTTGACCGTTTAACCATTGACAACCATGACAACCATGGGGTTGTTGGCTAAGTTGACACGTGTGTAGATCAACTGGGTTTTAATCACTGGCAGAGGCTCCCTGAACCAAAACACGTTAGTTCAACGGAGAAAGGAAAATTCCTTTCCTATTTTAATGATTAATCTAGAATCTAGATGTTTGGGGATGATGATGGAAAAAATGCACGTCAAAACCATTGGTGTATTTTTTTGGGAAAAAGTGTTATTGAACAACACAATTTCATAGTGGGATATTTTTGCAGTTCTATGGTATACCGGTATACCTGCATATTAGGAACTGGCCTAGTTACCAGCCTGACAGCAAATCAAACCCAAACCAGGAACCACTATTATATATATAAATAACATGTATATATATATATATATATATACATCGTGCGGACTTGAGAATACATGTCCTGGACGATGCAGGTTCAACCTTTAGGAAAGCTTGAGGAAATCGTTCGGGTTTAGGGTTGAGGAAAGGGGTGAAATCCCTTTTCAGCTCTGCGCCTTTATCAGCCAAATTGTTTAGCAGCCATCAAAAGAATCACCGTTTCTGTCATGGTTCAGGTTTCTGGAACCACTCGCCGGTTCCAGTCACCGAAGAAACAAGCCAGAAACCCTCGGGCAATATGATGTTTAGCAAAAAAACATGAGAATTTGAATTTAATCAGCCTCCAACTGGAACTGATTTATTGGGCAAACCCAATCATAAACCAGCCGCACTAGAGGTTCATTATTGGGTATCCGGGTGTATGAGACAATGTCTATCATGACCCCTGGCCCCTGGTCATGATTGGGTAATGTGATGGCTTATGGCAATTGTGGGTTTACCACAATCAGTGAAAACAATGCTTGATCCGCTACGGAGCCCCCAAGTTACAACTAGGTCAAACAAACACTAACTATATAGTTAATTACATGTACCAAAAAACAGTGACATATTAGACGTATATTATATGTATATCATATTAGCTAATTGGCACCAACTTAGCTATCATAAATCAGGCATAACTATCATAAGTCCCAAAGAAAATGGGTGAAATCACCAGTTTCCTATCTGGTTGGTGGTTTCAACCCCTCCGAAAAAAAAAAATCAGTTGGGATGATTATTCCCAATATATTGAAAATAAGAGCCATGTTCCAAACCACCAACCAGCTATGGCTTTTGCCATTGCGTGCACCACCGTTGCCATGCTTCGCCGAGCTCGCCGAGCGGCCGTTCGGTCCCACGAGCTTCGCTGATCGGGATCCACGTGGGCCAGCAACAGGGCGCCCAGGACGGCAACCTGCAACAAACATCGGAAAATTCACGGTGATTGACCCTGTTTTCATCTGTTTTTCATAGGTGATCTATGGCTTATATGGTGAAATATGGTTATATAGTTTTACCATACCCATCAAGTTGATGGTGATTGATAGGTGATGTATATTTATGTATTACTGAATATATATATATCTGTGTTGGAGTCACATTGAAAGCTCGAGGTGGTGGTAGTTACAGAGTCAATGGGGCAACGACATAACGTGGGCATCCCACCTTGTAGAATGCAATTGTTCAAGCACCCCGGTTAAACATAATGTCAACCAAAAAAACATGCAATTAACTAGGTTTAACAGTTTAACATGGTTTAACCAGGAAAAAAATGCTGACTGTAACCAACAAACAAAGAGATGATATAATCAAAACAAGTTGGGTTCTGCCAAAGTGAAGTGTTTCGTGATCAACAAACATGGGAGTTAACGTGCGTATGGCTATTAGACCATGATGGGCTCCCTTTGCCATCTTAGCATCATTTCAAACCATCAAAGGAGCAAAAGTATAGGACAATTCTGATCTAACGATGGGGGGTTAATGGGAACTAGATTCACTAGATAATGGGGAAAACTTAGAATACAGTTATTGGGGTTTACGGACCAAACATAACATGGGCGCCACACATTGTAACAAATGTAAGCCAATTGAACTACGATATCTTTTGATGGGTACCGTGAAACGGGCTGTAACTGGGATTGGTCCCGCTATTGTGTCCGGGCATGATCGCCAAACAAAATGTAGGCTTCAAATCCAAACCCATGTCTCCACAATGACACACAAGAAGAAAAACCATAGAGATAGAACATAACTGAAAGACATATACACAACAAATCGTTTAGCATAGTATCCAAATGGACATCCGGTACAATAATCTGGCACTGCAATCGAACCTGCACCTCTCGACCTATTCATCCTACAAGGTGCTGTCCTCCTAATTGCGTTTGTTGATGTTTGTTGGTATATGTAGTCCAATACATTTACATACATTTACCTTAAACAACCCAAGAGAAATGTTAGATACAAAGTTAGCGATTCCAAACTGTGGCACCACCTTTTAGTGCTGCTATCCACTTCCCAAAAATCTAGGAATCGCTGGGTCTCCCAACATCCCCTAGTTCGGCAGCCATATGCAACGGATAGACCTCTTCCTGCCGGCAACCAGGGGCACTTTGGCTTCGTTGCTGATATTCATTATTTCATCAACGCGGGGCGTATAGCAACAACCATGATGTAAATGCAAAAAATGATATATACTAGTATATATGACGGTCTTTAAAAGTATTGTACTGTAAATGTGCTTTTGATCTAATCAATAAAAATGCGGTATATACAACCACATAATGGGGATGCAATCGTAACGCAACCCAATATATAATCTGGTTGGAGTGTGTCTGAAATTAAAATTGTTGTAATTTATATATTGGGATTTGATGTGGAAAATTATGCTCTGTACCATTTCAGTTTGAGTAACCCATTTTCAGAAAAAAACAATGTTCTTTTTCAGTCCATCGGCACACTTCTGAATAATGTTAGCATATGTTAGTGCTAAAGCTCACTCCATTTTGTGCACACAGCTGCGCTAAGGGAAGTGGATCAGAAAAGGAAGCATCAATATACACAGACAGGACTCCAGACTCTCAAGAACCCACAAGTAAGAGAGTGACTTGCACCAACCACCGTCACCCCCCACAAGCGGAAAAGAGAGAGTCACAGACAAAATCCCACATCGAGAGCCAATTAAACAATAACCGTGGACCCACCCAGGGGAAGAGTGACGCCTTAAAGGCTCCACAGCCAACCGAGACACGAAGGCGACACAAATCCCAGATACCGGTATCCCGCCCGAGGTGGTGCCGGGGGAAGGAAGGGGGGCCCAAAAACACTACATGTGCATTCCGTGAACAACGCACTATCTTCCGGAGCACCGGCTAACTAGTGCTAAAGCTCACTCCATTTTGTGCACACAGCTGCGCTAAGGGAAGTGGATCAGAAAAGGAAGCATCAATATACACAGACAGGACTCCAGACTCTCAAGAACCCACAAGTAAGAGAGTGACTTGCACCAACCACCGTCACCCCCCACAAGCGGAAAAGAGAGAGTCACAGACAAAATCCCACATCGAGAGCCAATTAAACAATAACCGTGGACCCACCCAGGGGAAGAGTGACGCCTTAAAGGCTCCACAGCCAACCGAGACACGAAGGCGACACAAATCCCAGATACCGGTATCCACCCTCCCCACTTCTGTGACGATTGCGGCACGAAATGACCTGGGGAAGGTGCTGAGTGTAGAAAACATGAAGAAAGACCCATGGGTGCTACATGGGAGAAAGAAAGAAACCTCCCCAGGAGGAATCAGAGCGCCCCTTGGCAGATAAAATAACAAGATAAAGAACTGACGCACACGAGTGCCCGTGCAGACCGCAAAGAGAGAAGTTCTTTTCAGACAGCAGTTTCATAGTCAGGTCTAGCCGCCTGTCGCTGCAAGTGCAGGGACACTTGTACATGACCACCTTCCTGAACCATCCTGTCCATCACGGGTTGAATCAAGCTTGCACCAGCCAATGAAGACCGATTGAGATGAACCATCAGTGACGCCACACCAGCAATCTCTTTCATAGGTGTAGTTGTCACTCCTTCGTTCATCAGCAAATGAACGACCGCACCAATCAGCTCGTGCAAAACCCGAGCTTCAAAGCGCAATTCACCTTCAAAGACCCTGAGAAACCAAGGCTTCAAGGCTGCCAGATCCTCTTGGCTGGGATCACCCTCTTGAAGCATAAGAGTAGTGGCCTTGTTGCCAGTCCAGCCACAGCTTCAAAACGCCCTTTTCATCCCTGTTGTGTTGCAGCCATCCATTGCCGGCATTCAAATCCTGCACAGACAGAGGCCAGCCTTCTGTGATTTTGTACGCAAGTGCCTTCTTTGGAGGCCTGTGCGCCATCAACATTCCATTATGCCACCCGGTCACCCCCTAGGCATCACCGACAGTCTCGGGAACCTAGGGCGCCCAGAGAATCCAAAAGCCTCAGCAGGAACTGCTTTGTTGAGCACAAAGTCCTTTCTCCACAGCTCATCCAGCCAGAAAATCCCGAAGCCACCGCCATGGACTTCGGGAAAAGCAACCTTTATCCCATCAGGGTGAATGACCAATCGGCCCCCTCTTGCATAGGAGCGCCGAACCATGTCAGAATCCCCTTCCAGATCCTTGTAGAGGAGGTTCACAAGGTCCACATCGAAGACCAAGTTCAGCAGCCTTCGCGGATCACCCTCTTCCTCAGCAGTCCAGACTCGGTGAATCCCGTAGGCTCCACAAAGGGGAGTCCCAGGAGCGATTTCCTCTTCCGTGACTTCCACGATTTTCCGTGCAGCCAACTCTTGCACAATTTCCACCCATTCAGAGTCGGATCTGACCAGCACCTTGGGACCTCCCATGACTTCCACGGAAGCAAACCCAGTTCGATGAACCATTTCAACCGAGGTGCGGGTCCATTCCTCCGGCTTCTTGAAACAATTCGAGAATCTGCGCCGCTTGGAAGGATGTCCGCCAGTTGTGCTCCAGAAAGTTTCTTTGATGGAGGCCCAGTCTAAGGGAAAAGCAGCATGGAGCGGTAGGCCACAATGTCCCGGACCCCTGGTCACCAAACCCTCCTTCCAGGGTCTGACAGTCACCAAGCGGTCCTCAGCACAGAAGTGAGCCACACAACGGTAAACCTGCTGTGCAACGGCCTCCTGCGCCGAGGTCCAGGTGATCGGGTACCCAGGTACCCACAGGTCTTCTGGTTTCATGCCTCGATATTGCCAATTCAAACAAAGTATCAGCAACCATGACCAAGCAGTCGCCCCTAACTCTGAGATATCTTTCCTCAGCCGTCCATACTTCGGGTCAGCCAAGTTCTCCTCCGATTGAGCTTCAGAAGATTCTCAGCTGCTACCACCTCATTCAAGCTGGTTTCCGGTAGTTTCATCGGCAAGAGCCCAGCACTCTCCCCCTGTAAAGTCCTTAGCGCAGCACAGGGGAGCACTCTGGCAAAAGAGCCCAATTGTGATGGCCTTGCCAATACCAGGTATTTGAGCACTAGCCCCAAAGCACAGACGGAGAGCGGGGCTATAGCCAGCCTGCGCAACTCAGTCAGGCCTTCAGATTGCGTCATTGGAAGAGCAAACCCAGATGTATCATGAAGATGGAAAAGGTCAATCACCTCTTCGGCATTCCAGATCTCTTCTCCATCTTTCACATATAGTGGGCGTCCACACAGCGCTTCGCGACCTGTCTCTCTGGTGGCCTTCGTCTTGCCGTCAGACCAGAAATTGGAGCGCGGGCAGAAGTCCGAGCCACCTCCAACGTACACACCGCCATCAGATGGGTTCAACCACCAGGCTTGTGTAGCCTGCATGATCTTGACCCCTTTGATCTCCTTTAAAAGGAGGCCTCGTGCAGGTGGATCTTGCGGCTCACCAGGCCGTGAATGTGAAGTTCGGCTCCATGGCATCTCGAACTCATTGCCCAGCTCCGGTGCAGTCCGCATCAACCGACTCAGCAAAGCTTCTACCTTCCCCTCTTTTTCATAACTGGCAAGCAAGCTGGCCCAAGTCTTGGATGTCTCGTCTCGCTGGCATGCTGGCAAGCAGTCCAACATATTGCTCAGCAAGTCAGTTACCAGGGAGTTTTCGGACCACTCAGCGAAGTTCGCGTCCTCAGACTTCACCAGCGGCCACGGCCTTTGCCTTTCTTCCCCTTCTTTCCTTTCCGGGATTCCTCGTTTGGTTGCGCTGCGTCCCCGTCCTTTTGCTCCTTGTTGGCAATCCCACTGACTGGTGGAGCCGGGGGGCGCCAGCTTTGGCTTGGTCTGAGGATGGACCCCATCCTTTCCCCAGCTTCTGCTCTGCCTTGACCTCGTTTTGTGCTGCCTTCAGCTCCTGGGTGAAATAGGATCTGGCCTCCTCCACATCCACCAGTTCCAGATGATTGGCTTGCTGCCAATTCTGCTGTTCGATGCTCAGTTCCAGGGCTTTCTGCCGCTGTAACAGAACGTCCAACGCTGAAGGGACCATATTCATTGTCAGGTAGTCCACCACCAGCATGAGCGTTCTCATCTCGCGGGTGGTTCTTTGCCCCAATGTTGAAGTTGGGTTCTTGACAAAGTACACCTGCTGCAGGTAGGCTCGAGCCACTGAAGGCATCGTGTCCTGCTCCCCCAGCTCGGCCCCCCTTCCAGTGCTCCTCATGAGAAGCTCTCGGTACCTCTGCACCCTTCACTGGATTCATCAGAAGAATCTTCAGTGTCACTGTTGGCTTGCTTGGCCTTCTTTTTGCTGGTTCTCTTTTTCTTCTTGGTACGCCGCAACTTCAGGGCTGATTCAGCCTGAGGAACAGGCTTCCGTCGACGGAGGATCTGGCCGTAACTGGCCGAATCATCTGACTCCTCATGATCGCCCTTTTTGTCTGCTTGCTCGTCATTCTCTCCATCCGAACGCCGCTTGCGCTTTCGCTCGGTTGCTGGCTTAGCATCCGCCGCTTCCTCCAGTGCCGTTCCCTCCAAAGCAGACCGAAGGCCGGTAACCCCGGCTGCTCCAGGTTGAACAACACCAGGAGGAGCGGCAGGCGCTGTGTTGGTCGGCGGAGCGCGCTTCAGCTGTTCAACTTGTGCTCGGCCGTCATCCCCCAGCCACCGAGTATTGAGCACCTCGTCTTTCGAGAGGATGCGCCAGACGTCCACATGGATCAAGTCTGCATAGCCCCCGCGGAAGGAGCAGCTATGTTGGGGCTGCCGGCAAAAGTGTGGAAGAAGACTTCTTTGCCCTCTGTTAAGGCTCCGAAAGTACTTTCAAACCACCAGCTGTAGTATGGATCTTCAATTGCCAACATTATTCCACCCCAGCTCTTTCCACCATCACTGTCTCCCCCTAAGGGATCGGACCGGAGCAGTTGGAAAAGCAGATGTCCCATGCGGCTTCCATCCTCATGATATGCTGCTGCCTCCACAACAGCGAGCTCGTTCAAACCGAGGTAGTGATCATCTGAGGCTTTGCGCCCAGTTTTTCGCCATGGCTCAGGCATCTGCCTACCTCCACTCCCAGAACCCAAATTTGCCTCCAAGGGAAAAGATCCCCTTTTGGCTATTCTGCCTCCAGGAGCTTTGGTAGGACACTCAGCACCAAAAACACTACATGTGCATTCCGTGAAAAACGCACTATCTTCCGGAGCACCGGCTAACTAGAGCTATGAAACCTGCGTGCAATCCGATTACCAGATTGCCTTTTTGCTCAATCCGACACTTTGACTGTGGTCCCATGTCACACACCATGTCGTGAACAAACGAGCATTGAAAAAGCACCTGTTCGAACATCGTAAATCCCATGGGTGACAACGCGGTAGAAAAGGTGGTCTTGGTATCTTTGGCATCCTTGTGATTTACCTGATATAAACAACATGGAGTTGGATGCTATGAGTTAGCAAAGACAACAAAGCGTTAAGAAAAAACACATTTAACTTTAACTGTCTTCACCCTCCAAAATGGCATGCTCAAATACCCGCCAGCTGGTGCCCCTCAGCTAGTATAAACCCCAATATATAAGTAATTCGATAGATCTACCATAAACCATAGTTAGTGGAGTTGTTGGCACTTAGCTATCATAGATCAGCTTTAAATCCCAGTAGATCACCATTTTTGTTAGTTAAATTACAATTTTCCAATAGTTTTCCAGTGGTTTCCTATGGTTTCCTATGGTTTTCCCATGCTTAATCCCATTCCCTTGCTATCCAAGTGATCTCAACCCTGATTGATTCCACCGCAGCAACGTCACTTCGTCGCCTCTCCCGATTCACGGCGAACGCTCTTGGGGGTGTCAAGGTCTGGAAAGCCATAGAACTGGAGGAAGCGTTGCACGAGCTCCTGGCGTTACATTTTTTTCCGATTTACAACTTACTGGTGCTTAGTAGGGAATGGATGGGAATGATCCATAATCACTAGTAATAATCATCTCCTTCCCCAATTCCCATCCATTTCCTACTAAGCATCAGTAAGACAAAAAAATCCATGGGGATTTTCTGTACAGATGTGGGATTCAACGTGGCGTCTCGTCTGTTGAATACCCAAGCTGTTGGTTAAGATCATCCCAACAAAGATGGTGCTTCTTGGTGGTTGATCTTCATGGAATGATGAATCTGGGAATGTTGCGGTATAACCAGCAGGAACGGAAAGGTAATGGATGTAAATGGGGCGGGCATATCATTGGCGGTGCCCCAGTGAACGGAATCACTAGGTTGTTTTGCAACTAACGCAATGAAGGATACTGTAATACTGAGGTTTTTGGTAGATATATCATCACATAGCTGCTGGGATTTATACATCAATTTCATCTGTCGCAGTTAACCAAGGCAAGAAGAGTTTGTCCAGCTACAACTGGACGAAACTAACCTACATACTACCTGGGGTTAACCGCCAAGTATGGTTCCAGCGGTACCCTCTCAGGAGGTATGGCTGGGGTACGATTTAGGGGGTGTAGCCGTACCTTCTCAGGAAGCACTTGGACATATACGAATTGGATATCTATAGTAACCAATAATGTATGATACTGCATTTGTTTGTTGAACCTTTGTTGATAGGCCTTCTTTACAGGAATTTAAAGGTCAAAAAAAGGGATCCTCGGAACCCCCAAACGAATGGGAATTCACCAGCAACAATAGTTCACATCGGTTTCACCAACAGAAAACGGTGGTTTTAACCATATGGAAAAATATGAATTCGTCAATGGGAAGGATCATCCCATATATGAAATGGAAAATAAAAAATGCTTGAAACCACCAACCAGTATCAAATTCTACATTGACCTAGGCAGGTAAACTGGCAAACACCAACGATGGGATTTACGCCCAATATTAGCATCTCAGTTGTGGTGAACAGCAACCCGGCCTCAGGGATGGGGGCTGTATGGCTGCGAACATTGAAGGTTGGATTTAGAGATAGAAAAGACACCGATAGATATGACTTTACAAGCTGGGTTATTCATGAAGATTGACCTGTTACAAAGTGGAAAGCTTCTGCAAGTGGGAAATTAGTGGGAATGGGCATGAGAACATCCGCAACTAAAAATGCGTTGTGATCAACGGGAAATGCCCGGGCCATAAACGCCTGATAGGCGCTTCATTTTACCCTCAGGTGTCATCAAACATAGGATACATGAAATATATAATATAGCCAAGTATCATGGAATTTAATGGAATATCATAGTATATTCTGGGATATAATGGGATATGATCATGGCGACATTCTGGTAAATTGGAAATCCATTACAGATGGAACGTTGAATAGAACAATCCACTATATTCCATTGCCCGATTTGAAAGCAGGAGGGTGCCCGTTTAAATCCGTTTAACAACACTTCACATGTCTGAACAAATTCAACAATGTGCTGACGTCAGTCCAAACATTTGGTTGATCTCAAAAAAATCAACAATTCGAAAATCATTCGAAAATCCACCTGTTACGGAAACAAGTGGTTGATTGCCAAGTTATTAACCAAAGTCGAAAGTCAGTCCCCCGTATGGAGAAACACCCCTGCCCCCGGGCCCCCGGTTCCACCTGCCGCGTCTTCCTACCTTGGTTCGCTTCACGCACTGTCCGAGAAAACATTGAGTCCCGTTCCCAAGATAGGTAGGTGTAGGTTGGTTTTAAAAGTAATCCCCCAAAAAACAAAATAGACGTAAAATCCTACTGAAATAGTGATGATTCACTTTTCCATCTGCTTTGGGCTTATCGTGCATATATATATATATACATACATACCTGTGATGTTCCGGTTGACATCTCACTGTACAAGATCAATTCCCATGGTTCATGACCATGGTTACCCCTTTATGGCTTTATAATCCAAAAAGTATGGGTCATCACAGAAACCCAGAAAATTCTGGTGAAATATCTTGGATCTCTCGCTTCTGGTGAGGGAATTCCAACCTGAAGTGGCAGCTATGATGGAAACACAAACAATATAAATCGTCTAAATCGATCAATTCTAGGTGAACTATACAAGCAATATTATCACTAACATTAAATTGACAGTTATAATCGTGGATAACCTTTTTCATCTCTTTGATATATCTATATAGACGTATTAAAAGCTAATCCAGAATAAATCAAATGATAAACCAAGAGAACTGTATCAACTTGATGGCCCATTGTGAGTACCTCCAACTTAATGCCCAGAAAAAATGCCAGCAATCCATGCATCGATGACACGCTTTTGCCTGGTTTCAAAGCCAACGGTGTGGATAACACCTTCATCTTCACCTTGCCCCTGACACTGGAAGAGGGCGCCCCCACGCGCCGGTGGTAGTAACTTAAGTTGGTGAACTGGTTGCCAACTGGGATTTATATACAATGGGGATTTAGTAGAAACAAGTGATGGAATCCACATCGTCATGGGCAGTTGAGGGGAATTTCATTTTGATTTACCGACTGAAAATGGTTTCTAGTTCCCATCGCCCGATCCTATAAAATACCCAAAGAACGAACCACTGGTTTAACATTGGATCTCTGCATGCACTGAGGTCGCTAGAAATTATGGTAATGTTTTGGGTTTGGGACTTCTTGAAGGATCATCACAGAAGGAAGCGGTGCGTCTTTTGTGATCAACTGATGGAATAAATTCTGGAATTGGGAGCTTAGATAACATCCCACTTATAAATTGAAACACCCGGCAAATTAAACATGGAAATGGACCAACCCCCGCTGTTTTTCCCCTGAAAACTTCCATGGTATTGGGGAACTTCGTTGGGACAATCCTGCGTTGGGAAAACCAAGGTTGAGCGCGAAGTTGGGCAATCTACCGGCTATGAATAGTGCTATTTCACATCGATTGGCACATGTATAGATGACTTACCCTCTGGTAATCTAACATAGCGGAAAATGGACCATAGACGATGGTGTTGCTGTTAAAAGGCTAATTTAATGCTAATTTTCCATAGCTATGTTAGATTACCAGAGGGTAGCACTTAGCAAAGCGTGAAAAATCACCGGTGCTCCAAAGGGGGCATCCCACAGGGCATTTGCGCTGCAAATCGTGCCTTCTTGTTGTTTCCGTCGAAACCTAGGAACGCCAAAGAACTGATCGTTGGGATCATCCACCCAGTTCTAAGTTCTGAAACCAGCCAGCGGTATATAATAGATGTAGATTTAGAACATGTCTTTGATGGTTCAAACACACTTTGTCAATGCTATAATTCATCTAAAGTTCTTGATTGTTAAACTGGTTGGTGGTTGACCTACCCCTCTGAAACATATGAGTTCGTCAGTTGGGGTTACTATTCCCAACTGAATGGAAAGTCATAAAAATTCCATGGTTCCAAACCACCAACCAGAAACCACTATTAACCACTATTAACCACTATCAACTACTATAAACCACTATTAACCACTATTAATCACTATTAACCACTATTAACCACTATTAATTACTATTAACCACTATTAACCACTACGACCCACTATCAACAACTATTACCCGCTATTAACCACTATGAACAACTATTAACCACTATTAATCACTATTAACCACTATCAACCATTGTTAAACACTATGAACCACTATGAACCACTATGAACCACTATGAACCACTATGAACCACTATGAACCACTATGAACCACTATGAATCACTATGAACCACTATTAATCACTATTAGCCACTATTAATCACTATTAACCACTATTAACCACTATTAACAATTATCAACCACTATGAACCACTATAAACCACTATTAGCCATTATGAACCACTATTAACGACTATTAACCACTATTAACCACTATTAACCACTATTAGCCATGATGAACCACTATTAACGACTATTAACCACTATTAACCACTATCAACTACTATAAACCACTATTAACCACTATTAATCACTATAAACCACTATTAACCACTATTAATTACTATTAACCACTATTAACCACTACGACCCACTATCAACAACTATTAACCGCTATTAACCACTAGTAACCACTACCATTCACTATTAACCACAATTAACCAGTATTAACCACTATCAATCACTATCAACCACTATCAACCACTATTAACCACTATTAACAACTATTAATCACTATGAACCACTACTAACCACTATTAAATACTATCAACCACTATTAACCACTATTAACTACTATTAATCACTATTAACCACTATCAACCACTGTTAACCACTATGAACAACTATTAACCACTATTAATCACTATTAATCACTATCAACCATTGTTAAACACTATGAACCACTATGAACCACTATGAACCACTATGAACCACTATGAACCACTATGAACCACTATTAGTCACTATTAACCACTATTAACCACTATTAACAATTATCAACCACTATTAACCACTATTAATCACTATTAACCACTATTAACCACTATTAACCACTATGAACCACTATGAACCACTATGAACCACTATGAACCACTATTAACAACTATTAACCACTAGTAACCACTACCATTCACTATTAACCACAATTAACCAGTATTAACCACTACCAATCACTATCAACCACTATCAACCACTATTAACCACTATTAACCACTATTAACCACTATGAACCACTATTAACCACTATTAACCAATATTAACCACTATTATCCCAGACTACCAACCAGTAATGGACAACCACACAAGATTCCCTGGGGACCATGGCCCAGGCGCCATGTGTGGGGTGCTGAAAAAATGCAGCTGCTTATCATCTATCAGTTTTACAATCAAAGTTGTTGGCCTACTTCAACTTTTTTTTTGCAAATACCCTTTGGTTATTTAACATAGCTATGAAACATGACCCATTTATAGATGATTTATAATGATTTACCTCAAAAAAAGTGTGATTTGCCATAGCTAGGTTAAATAACCAAAGGGCAACATCTTCTGACGGTTCAACGGGTCACCTGAACCCGGCCGAGACACTGGGAATGTCATCAGAGAGGATGAACTCTGGCTTGCTGCTGACCTGGTGCCCAAAGTGTGACATGTTTGTTGAAAAAACATGGAGCATCTGCGGAAAAAAAAAAACGTGGTAAAATCATCTATACTCGGATATAAGTTGGGATTTCCCACATTTATGGTTATGTTTGTTGGTTTATGACTCCCATTGAGATCCATTAATCTATTAAGTATGCATATATCTACCAGAAACCCAAGTGAAATATGACTGATACACCAACTTAGCTAAGAAACTGGGGCACAAACTAGATCGAAACGTATCGATACACTTGGTGCCTCAAACAAAATATTTACACATTATGCATATAATAAACGTATTTTAAATGTGAACATATCAGGTTTGAATGGATCCGGGAATTGTTCCTCCTAATAGCCATCATCGTCAGTGAGTGGTGGTGAGATCGTTGCAATTTACCCTAGGAATAAGATGATCAAATCCAGCACTAAACCCTGCTGTCTTGGGAGGAAAGGATTGCATGTGCCATGGACAACACATGCTATCTGTGGTATATAATAGTCATCCCGTTATTTTTGGAAGTGCCTGCAATCGAAATTCTGATTCTCCATGAACATGGCTGTATGACCGAAGGCCGTCCCGAAATATGTCTGGATTATCCCCCTTCTGACCATGGCATAGTTCCCCCTATATCCCAATTCTATCCCTTCCTGCTGGTGACAATTCCCACATAAATCACCATTTTCACCACAGAAATGTCAACATCTTCGGGCGCCTTCACATCAAACTGGCAGTCGCCCGGAAAACCTGGGAAGCGGGGGGGAAACTGTCAAGCATCGGATCCCCATAAAATGTAAATCTAAATTATACACATCTAGATGATTAATCCCATGTCAACTACTATCAGCGTGTCTCTCAGCAGCAAGGCGCTCTGTCTCCTCAGCTCGTCTCTGAGCAGCAAGGCTCTGTGCCTCTTCAGCAAGTCTCTCAGCAAGGCCCTCTGCCTCCTTAAAAAGGCTCTCTGGAGCCTGGCTCTCTGCCTCAGCACGGCCCTCTGCAGCCTGACTGACTACTCCAGTTTGTCTTCTCCTGCTAGTTGGCCTGGACTTCGCGGCTGTGTTAATGCGGTCAGGCGCTGTGCGTTGCCAGGAGATTTACAGGGACGTTCCCGGCAGTTTTATGAAGATATCTTACATGTTATTTCCCATTTCAATATAGAGTTCAAGGGGGTGGCAGATTTTTATCCCTCATGATGATATGAAGATATCTGACATGTTATTTCCCATTTCAATATAGAGTTCAAGGGGGTGGCAGATTTTAATTCCTCATGATGATATGAAGATATCTGACATGTTATTTCCCATTTCAATATAGAGTTCGAGGGGGTGGCAGATTTTAATTCCTCATGATGATATGAAGATATCTGATATGTTATGTCCCATGTCAATATATAGTTCAAGGGGGTTGCTGATTTTAATTCTTCATGACGATATGAAGATATCTGACATGTTATTTCCCATTTCAATATAATATAGAGTTCAAGGGGGTGGCAGATTTTAATTCCTCATGATGATATGAAGATATCTGACATGTTATTTCCCATTTTAATATAGAGTTCAAGGGCGTGGCAGATTTTAATTCCTCATGATGATATGAAGATATAAGATATCTGACATGTTATTTCCCATTTCAATATAGAGTTCAAGGGGGTGGCGGATTTTAATCCCTCATGACGACATGAAGATCAAGTTTCATGTTATTCCTAATTTTTAAAATAAAATAGTTCAGAGAGAGTGGCAGATTTTAATCCCTCAGGATATCTTAACATGTTATAATTTATTTCTTGATTGCCGCACCCAGCCTATACTGGGTTTGCAAGTTGTACTGGGCACTGGCTGCTTGCCAAGCGATGCGATCGCGGTCGTCATCATGATGATCATCATCATGATCATCATCATGATCATCATCATCATCATCATCATCATCATCATCATCCAACATCACCTAACATCATCTAACATCATAGTTGTGGGTCTGGGCAACACACGGTGCCTGTGGGTATTCTTACACATTATCATTGTCAATTATGTATGTGAGAACTGTGCTATTTGAATCTATTTGAAGAGTACATCTATTTGTCTGTCACTAGAAACATCGTAATTAAGCCTCGAAAAGGTATGAGGTTTCCCAAGTCGTGGGGGGTGCCTCCAAGTCCAAATCAGCCAAGCCACCCGGGGCATCGTCCACGGCCTTGGCGGCACGGCATCACTGGAAAATCCCCGAAGTCAACAGCGGGAAAATCACTAAACAACTGGAAAATCAATGAAAAACGTAGGAAAATGTGGAAGAATCTGACGCATCTCTATATACATGAAGCTTTTGTAGCTCGGAAAGTCATCGGACTACATGGTTGATTTTCCAACTCGCCATATGTTTGAACTGGGACAAACCATTGGACCATCCTTTAAGCAGATATCAACCCTCAGCCTGGTACAGGTGCCAGTTTCTGAGGCTGCTGAGGTTGCACATGAATATGACTAATATAACTTATAATATAACCATATGATGATGAACTAAAGCCCATAAGTTGGGATATGGGGCCCGTAAACGATGATGAACTATATATCATATCCACTTAGTTCACTGGGTCTGCACTTCCAAGTGAGCGATTCGGGCTTGGGATGCGGGCTTTGCCCAACCACTCAAAGAACCGGGATGTGTTGGGATTCGGATATACCCCAGCAATCCGATCACCAAGAACCGCGAAGTCTGGCAACATCTAGATCATTCTAGATCATAAAGTCATCGATAACCCCATTGAACTATGGATATCCACCAGTTGGCCGCTAATTCTAAGCCAACTTAAACTTACCAAGTTAACGTGGTGGCCCCTAGATAGTTAAGCTGCTGTATAGATCCCATTAACTAGCTTGATATATCATGATCTACCATGAACCTGAGTTATGATAGTTCTAAATCAACTTTTTTCTAACCTTCCGAGGCAGTACGTTGCAAGGATGGCACAGTTGAACCCTCATGACTCTCATGACCATCACTGTGCTTCAATGACCACCCTTTGCTCGATAAACCTTATCTTTTTGCTGCGGAGAATTTACTCCGAACTGAGAGAGAATGGCCAACCCTTGGGTGATTTCACCTTATGAGCTGGGGATTGGTTCCATTGCTGACAGGCAATTAGAAAATGCGGGAAGGGCTTATGATCCACTTACGGACCAGTTCATGTGCTAACACCAATGAAAAGTATGCTCGTCCCAAGAATGAACCACTTGGCGGTTAATTATGAAGCATACCCGTACGGCTCATTACTACCCGACAACCTTCTCCATTGTTAGCAGCTTCTACTCCCACTAATAAAACTAGGATGGCAGTTTTACTGCTCAAAATCCAGTGGGTGAACAAAGCCAGCTGTTAACTGTTTGCAAGGTTTACCCCTAGATCTGCTGTAGAGAAAAACGAAAAACAAGAGCTTTTCCGTTGTTTTCCCCTACGCCCAAGCAGAAAATCTGTGTTTTGAAACTATCCTAGAATCTATAGTTAGAAACAGTTTTACATGTATTGTTGTTCAAACTAGCTTAGCTATTATGACATGTAGTTAACCAGCTGATTTCTTAAACTAAAACTATAACAGACTAAAACTACATACGGTGCTTAAAACTTATGGCCAAGTATATCTATAAACTTTATCAATATAACCACCTATAGGCCTGTAGACCTACACTCCGCCAAATTCACATGGTCCCTGCCAGAATTGTCTACTTTGAGGGTCTATGTTAACTTGGTGGAGGCTATATTGTTATGGGTCAAAACCCTGGTACCCTACGTACACTCAATCGCTGGTTAACCGATGGTTACTACCCCAGTCATATAGTAATCATAGGTTTTGACCCACCCCCATGTGTTTGTTGCTTTGTGCTTACCCCAACAACTATAGGTATAAACAGTTTTAAGTGTCAAGTATCATAAGCCATAGTGAACTTTGTAAACATCCCCAAGTTATCCATAAATCACCAGCTTTCCCAAATTTATTTCTGATTAGTTCCAGCATGTCGAACCCCGTCGAAGCCATGCTTCCTCCACTTCCGGTTTCCAACTCTCGCAGACGCACAACTGGATGACCTTGGTGTCGCTTGAAGTAACTGGAGCATTATTTCTAAACATGTGGAAACGAGACAAATTCCACATGGGAAGTTAGAGGTCATTTCTGTTTAGCTAAATTGCTCTGTAGCTCCCAGAAGCAGGGTTTATGGCAGATAAGTATAACTATATTTAGCTAGTTAGACTGCTTATCAATCCACTCATAACTGGGGGACACCCCGTGTGAGCCATGATGATGGTCATCCAAAGAATCCGAGTGCAGCCAATATCACCGCAAGTCCCCACTTCTTCCGGTTGTACCATGACAAGTGGCCTATGTTTGTGTTTTTATCAACAACGCGCACGTATTGAGAGTTACGATGTTTGGGGATGCACATGCAAGAATGCTGATCTGCAAAAACTACTGCTGCACGTTTACACCATGATACACCGTTGTAAACTTCTTGAGTCTCCCCAGCTCCAAAACGCCAAGGCCCTCATGTTTCATGGTGCCAGTTCTTCGATGGCACCAGTTACTGCTGACACGCACCAGTGCCTTTCTTCAGTCCAACACCATGGGGTACCCAGTCAATCGGGCCGAGAAACCATAGCTTCGCGGAAAGATCGTAACGCGATCGCCACACCGAATCAAACAGAGAGCTCTCGAACCAAAGGCTGAGGTCACTGGAGCCACTGGAATCTGACTGCAGAAAATGGAGCATGAAACACACCTAAGTTGAGGTAAAACAACACAGATTTTATCTGAACGCTGTGAGGGTCTAAGTATGTGATATATATATATATATATGTGTATAATTACTTCATAATAGCGGTCTGACTATGTGAAAAAACAAATCACTGTAAACACATCTCAATCACCCACAGTTCAATCTATTTGAAAGCTATATGGCTACCACCTATCCTTGTCCAAACACGCATGGCTATAGGTCAAAAACAGGGAGTTATGAATTTCATACTTTCATGACGTTAGGTTGCCCAACAATACCTTCATCAAAACATGTTCGCTGCAACCTGGACGTTTGCCCGGAGTTGATGTCCCGCCTTCCTGATTTTGATCCCTCATGAAGATAAAGTTGATGTTATTGCCCCATTCAACATTGGTCATAGGGGGTGGCGAATTTTAATCCCTCATGAAGATAAAGTTGGTGTTATTTCCCCAATCAACAAATTGTTCTGTTATGTCACAATCATGAGTCTGGGCGAACGTTAAGGTGGCGGACAGGACAACATGTTTTTCATTATAATTCCTAAAGTGATAGCCAATTATAAGTGAATTTATATATATATATGACTGTACCAATAATTACTAATGTTATAGGGGTCGTATCATAACCTTTGAGGGTTTATAATTCCTAAAGTAAAGTGATATTGGAAAATCAATTAATTATTATCGAAAACCACTTTAAGGATAATTGGTGACTATAATTCAATGAACATAATACTATATAGTTCATTGGAACAAGTCCAATCATGTCGGTAAAGCAATGTCCTAAACCACACATATTTCATTGTTTAAACAATCTTAAAGCAACCATGTATGATAATATGGGGGATGATATACTGTCGCTTTACCAATATCCAATTCTAAAAGCATTGAGATCATTATTATTGTTGTTGATATGTTACCATAATTACAAATAACACTATGACATAAGTATCATCAAAACATCCATATCAATGGTATTCAATAATACCATGTTTGTCCATATTAAGGGGTTCTTAAAATAAGGGTCCTCAAGTCACCATGGGTTTCAATACTAATGCATGGTTTAATGACTCGGATGATTTGGGGTACCCCCATGGCTTAGGACACCTCCATTGCATATCACTAACCATCCAAGCATCTATGACTTAGGAAACCTCGTAGCTTTTTGAGGCTCACAATGGTTTGATATCCCATGTCAGCAGTTACACTAATCATTATCATTCATTATCACTAATCATCCGAAAATTCATGAGCAAAACCTCCATTTCATATCACTACCCTCTGGTAAACTAACATAGCTATTGAAAATGGCCATTTATAGTGAGTCTTCCCATTAAAAATGGTGATATTCCATAGTTTTTTGTATGTTTACCTGAGGGGAATCATCCAAACATCACGAGAAATCTCCGCTTTCGTCCAAGCATTCCAGGTCCTCCAGGTCCCAATGACAGGTCCTCCAGGTCCCTGCCTGTGAGAACGTCCTGCACGGCCGGCAGGCCGATGCGATGATAAATCACCTCCTGACTCGCCTGGCGGGAGAAATCATGGCGAACGTGAGAATGAAACTAGATTCAAACAAAATTAATTAGATATTTGTTGTTAGAATGAACAAAACCATGTTTTATGATGTTTTATCCGTCACATTCCTAGATCTATATCACTGGTTATTGGTGGTATACCTACCCCTCTGAAAAATATTAGTCAGCTGGGAAGGACTATCCCATAAATTGTGGAAAATAAAAAATGTTTGAAACTACCAACCGGAGGAGGGAAAAAAACGCAAACACTTGTGGGGAAAGTAGCAATTTTGTCAATCACGGGTCCTCTGAAGTGCTCACCAAAATATCCCATGTGATAATCAAGTTGCTGGACAATTTCACGTATGGAAGTTTTTGCCCATGTGTTGAAACATGATGATTTGTCCGGTCGCAAACTCATTTTCCGGGAGGCTTCCACATGTGCTCTGTGTTTTGGTCCAGGGTGGGTCAAAGATTTCAGGTCGTTGGAGACGACGGCTGCGCCAAGCAAAGAACATGCGATCGAAACTGGAATCTGCGCGGACCAAAACCTACTGTGCAAGTGTTTCAGACAAGGAAGTCGCTGAGAGGGTATGTCACCATTTTTGGCTCACGTCGACCACATGTTTGTGGAATGTCAACATGAATTCAAACATATGGATGTCGGAAACCCCAAAAATACACCTGCCATCCGGGGATGGTTTTGATATGTTTTGATACAACCCATTTATAGTGAGTTTGGGGATTGTTGATTGTTGGCTTTACCAAATTCAATCATTAAAAAAAACTTCACAAAGTTGAAACAAACTATTTGGGGTAGCTACCCCAATCCCACTGCTCTGCGGTGACAAAGTGAGATCGTTAAGTTACTGCAGTTATCCAGAAAAATCCCATTTCGTAGCACTGCAAGGACCTCCCCCTTCATCATCCTGCTCGAAATTAGGATGCTTACGGTCTTTTTTTGATGTAAAAAAAAAATCAACCCGAACATGTTCCAGTTATTCAGTTATGTATAGGTAAGTATACCAGCACCATGGTTCGCATGTGGTTCGCATGTGGGGAGTAAAGTCGAGGCAATTTTGTTTAATATTTGAACATTTTCATGCTTAACCCCAGTAAGCGGGTTAGTTCACCCCAATCAATTCAACAGGGCAATTTTATAGGCCATGTTCAGCTTTAACTGGGGTGAAGTAAACCACAACTTAACCCACTTTAACCCGCTTAGGAGAACCACCAAGTAAATAGGATGAGGAACGGGCCGGATGGGTTGTTTTCACCAACTACTTCTGGCAACACGGGATTTCACTGACAACATGACAATTACATACAATTACATACGGTGGCCCCAAAAATAAGTTTGCCAAGTTAGTACATATAACAGCTAGTATATAACCCCCATTGTTGAATCGTTGAGGATAGTTATGATATGTGATACGTTACAATAAACATCAATAAACCTCACCCTCAGATCAGCGTTTCCGCCCGACCTCTTCGCTAAAGGCCGTGTCGAAGTCAAAACTCCACTTCCTGGGTTTAGGGTTTCGCAGCCATGGACAGCGCTAAGCTGCTAGACTCAGACTTTTTAGAGATTTTTGCTGACAAAAACTGGAATGAAATACGTTTAGGATTCAATTATATATATATATAAATATAGAATAATTACATACTTAGAATTACTACCAAGACTACTTAGTTGATCCCGAATCCAAATTGCTATTGGTAGTTGATATGATAAAGGCTCCATATAATTGATGGTTGATCAAGTACCCTGCACAAAAAGGAGTGTTTGCTTAAGATTAGTTTCGAATTGTTTGTGGCACACACACACACACATGACCCTACTAAAGGTTCACAACGCTTCACGCATTTCAAAGCCCCCAGCAGGTTGGGAAGTTTCATACAGAAGGCGGCCATGGAAATAGATCTCCCACCATGTTCAAATCAGTAATCTGAAATTTGCAGCTTATGTCCGCTAGCAGGACAGAAACATAAACCCCATTAAAACTTGGGATCACCGCAGGATTCTTCATTGCCATGCAATGTCAATACCAGTTGAATAAACCACAGCTGCTTCATTCGGAGGAAACCCGCAAAAGTGGTAGTCTGCTTTAAAAACTGTATCACCTTACTGATACCGACCAAGGGTTCCTCAGTCCGTGCCATTTTCTCGACCAGAATCTACCCGCATCCGTTTCTGCACAAACCCATATCATATTACACTGGTTTATATAATACACTCTACAATATAATGTATATACTGTGTATTATATATATACACACGGATATACATATCACGGAATTCATTGGTCCATTCCTTCATGGCTAAAGCTTAAATCAACCATTTGTTGTTGGTTGAATCTCAATTCTGGACTCTTTTTCCACCCCATTTTCCATTGAATCCAAATTCCATGAACACCAATCCAATTCAAAACCTATGTTGCCTTACCAAATAGAAAGTTGTATATCAACTTATAGCATAACTTGCCCCATCTTCCCAGCTTTCATATGGGTAAAGCAATGTCACAAACCATCCCCCAGTCATCACCTGCTTCATAGGTGGTATGGTTACCATTCCCAAATGGGTGGTTCATTATTTTTTTACCCTAATACTTAGCTAGGTTCAAGATAGGTGGTAGAGGCCTTAAGTAAGATCCAAACATGTCTGGTACGTACGGCTGGTAGGTTTGGTTTTCTTGGTACGGTACGGTTGGTACATGTGGTACGGTACGGTTGGTACGGTTGGTGCGCTTAGTAAGGTACGTTTGGTACGCTTACCAACCGTACCGACCATACCAACCGTACCAGTGAACCGTACCACCGTACCGTACCAGATTAAGGGGGTACATCCAAAACGCCCCCCCCTTGACCCCCCCCTTAATCTGGTACGGTACGGTGGTACGGTTCACTGGTACGGTTGGTAAGGTCGGTACGGTTGGTAAGCGTACCAAACGTACCTTACTAAGCGTACCAAGCGTACCTACCCAAAGCGTACCAAGCGTACCAAGCGCACCAAGCGTACCGTACCAAGCGCACCAAGCGTACCAAAGCGTAGCGTACCTATCTTATAGCTGGATATCAAGCACCTATCTTGAACTTAGATAACCTAATACCATCCGTATGCCATCAATATCCCATACATATCCCATATCCCATAATGGTTTCTTCCTTTGAATAATAACCCAGAATTGGGATATGGCTTTTACCCATATATATATATATATATGTATGTATATATATATATATATATGTATATATATATATGTATGTATGTATATATATATGTGTATATATATATTTATATGTGTATAAATATATATATATATCAATATCTCAGAATTGCATATTAAACCTTTATATTCTTCCTATTACCCTCTGGTTATTTCACATAGCCATGGAACATGGCCCATAGAAATAGATGATTTTCCCATTAAATCCCGCATTTTTAAGGGATTTTCCATGGCTATTGTTTTACCTATGATTTTCATCCCCTGGACCCAAGCCGTCGACTCTCCGTCGCCACCAAGCCGCCCATCGTGCGACTGCACGGTGGCATTTTCAGCGACGCCCAGGTCGATGGCATTGGAATTATCACCTCGAACGACCGGCAGACCGCCGTTGTTTTTTGAAGGCCGAAATGGTGGTGGAAAGAAGATCTATAGATACTTTATGTATGACCTATATGATATCAACATATAGATATATATACACATATCATACATATCATATATATATATGATATATATATATGTATCATATATAATTAATATATATATATATATATATATATATATAAAGCTGAGATTGTTTTAGATTTTTTTGGATACCGTCTGCCAATCAAACATGGCTGGAAAATCACCCAGCTATAGATCGATAGTTTGCACACTTATATCAAGTGCTCAATCATAGGAAAGTCAGCCATGCTTATAATTACCAATGCGTATTTCAAGGAGTATTATATCATGACTTTGTGATAAGAGATGCTTTGATGTTGGGGGAACTGGATGGTGTCGTTGGAGTGTCTACTATCACTTATATAATTCTGGCAACGTTCAAGTGTGGAGCCCCTGCACGATTGGTTTCAGTTGGTCAACATTAAGCAGGTTTACAACATGCTTAATGGTAAACATCTATAGTTGGATGGGTGAAGACAAGTCAACACATGTTCTTTATTTAGAAAATTCATGTGAAATACACTCCGTTCCAAGCGCACATTTCTCAATGACTATCAATGTGAACAGACTCCATGGTCCATCTAACAGGGTGTCCCCTGACACAAATCCTGTGAAAAGTGGGATATGTTCGAAACTTCCCCAGCAGGGGTTCACTTAAAACGTGGCTCCTCTTTGATATCAGAAGGTTTGTGTATATTTTGCACATGTGCTAAATACATATTCTATGATATGTATATGTATACATACTGGTTGGTGGTTTCAATCCCTCTGAACAATATTAGTCAGTTGGGATGATTATTCCCAATATGGAAAAATGTTACAAACCACAAACAATATTTATATATATATATACATATATGCACTATTTCAATCTGATGCATGCTATGTGAATTCGATCACACTTCAAAAAAACCCGGTGGCCTGCATGCACAGCAAAGGCCGGCTGATCTTTTTCCTTGCCAAAAAATGTGTTGCTACCACGCCCAATGGCCATCGTGGGTCATCTTAAAATAGAAAATACCATGTGGTAAACTAACAGTTCACTATTGAAAATGGCCATAGAAAATTACTTTGGTTTCTGGAAAAAAACTTGTGATTTTCAATGGCTACTGCTTGTTTACCAGAATGCTTGCCAAGTGATTTTTTGAAGTGCTCTATAAAGCCATTTGACTTAGGGACAGTCAAAATCCCGATCCGAGTTTGGGTCGAGAAACATGAGTAATACATGTCCGCCAAGACTGCTTTGATTTTGGCCATTTGGGGGGATCCAGGTATCATTTTTTTTCACGAAAATCAAGCTGTGATTGGAGTTTGTATCTTCAGACAATGTATATATATATATATAGTATTACATTATACCTTTGGCTATTTATCCAACTATGTCCCCATTATAAAACAATTTTAAAATTTAATTGGTTTTATACCGTTTTATACCCATGTCTGCTGATTCAATCCCATCAAATCACCATCTGTGCTGTGTTTAGTCCCATATAAATCATAATGTTTTAGAGTAAATCAATATCAATTCAGCATGTTTCTTCGTTAATCCTAAGAAAACACTGTTAATTCATTAGCAAGTCAGCATATTTGTTGCTTAATCCTATTAAACCACTATATAAATCACTAGATCTCCCTGGATTCCCTACAAAAAACACTAAATCTCCCTGAAAATCGCTGGTTTCCCTGGTGCAAAGCGCTTGGCTTTGCAACGTCCACCGTCGTCCACCGTCCCGTCCCGCCATGCAGCGTCCTCCTCCTCGGTGATGGGCGGGCGAAAGCGCGCCACCACGCGGACGTTGGTCTGGAGCGGATAGGAGTCATCTGCAATATAACATGTATATATTATTATTATTATTACTATTATTAAATATAAATACATACATACATACATACATACATTAATTACATACATACATACACACATACATACATACATTAATTACATACATACATACATACATACATTAATTACATACATACATACATACATTAATTACATACATACATACATACATACATTAATTACATACATACCTACCTACCTACCTACATACATACATACATCCATACATACATCCATACATACATACATACATGCATTACATACATACATACCTACATACATACATACATAGATAAATGCATTACATACATACATACATACATACATACATACATACATACATACATATATAAACTAATTACATACATCCATACATACATACATACATACATACATACATACATACATACATACATACATACACAAATTACATACATACATACATACATACATTAATTGCATACATACATACAATAATTACATACATACATGCATACATACATGCATACATGCATACATACATGCATACATACATACACTAATTACATACATACATAGATTAATTACATACATACATACATTAATTACATACATACATACATACATTAATTACATACATACATACACACATACATACATACATTAATTACATACATACATACATACATACATACATACATATATACATACATACATACATTAATTACAT